GAGAGAGAGAGAGAGAGAGAGAGCCACACAGAGAAAGACAATACTGCATGGAATCACTTATATGTGGAATCTTTAAAAAGTCAAACTCAAAGAAACAGAGAAGTAGGGTGTTGCCAGAGGCAAGGGGCCAGGGTGGGGGGCTGTGGAGAGAATAGGGACAGGTTAGGAAAAGGATCAAACTTAATATAAATTTTTTTAAAAACAGAGATTTTTTTTAAGAAAATCAATCAATGTAATATACCACAGTGACAAAATGAAGTACAAAAAACCACATGATCATCTCAACTGATGCAGAAAAAGCATTTGACAAAATTTTACACTCTTTCATGATAAACACACTCAACAAACTACGAATCATAGGAAACTACCCCAAAATAATAAAAGCCATTTATGAAAAACCTACAGCTAACATCACACTCAATGGTGAGAGATGAAAGCATTTCTTCTAAGATCTGGAAAAAGGTAAGGATGCCCACTCTCACCACTTCTATGGTAAAACGATCTCCAACAAGGGTGCTATGACCACTCAATGGGGAAAGAACAGTCTCTTCAACAAATGATGTTGGAAAAACTAGATATCCACATGCAAAAGAATGAAGTTGGACCTTTAACTTACACCATCTTAAAAATTCGACTCAAAATGGATTAAAGAACCAAACGTAAGCTCTAACACTACAAAACTTCTGGAAGAAAACATAGGTGAAAATTTTCATGACACTGGACTTGGCAACAATTTCTTGCATATGACACCAAAAGCACAGGCAACAAAAGCAAAAGTAGACAAATGGGACTATATCAGACTTGAAAACTTTTGTGCATCAAAGGACACAATCAACAGAGTGAAATGTCAACCGATAGAATGGGGGAAAATATTTGCAAACCATAAGAGGTTAATATCCAGAATATGTAAAGAACTCGTACAACTCAACAACACCAAAAAAAACCCAAACCGATTTAAAAATGGACAAAGGACTTAAATAAACATTTCTCCAAAGATGATATATAAATGGCTAAAAAATATGAAAAGATGTTCAACATTATTAATCATCAAAGGAATGCAAATCAAAACCATGAATGAGATATCACCTCACACCTATTAGGATGGCTACTATTGAAAAAAGAAAAGTGTTGCCTAGGATGTCGATAAATTGGAACTCTTGTGCACTCTTGGTGGGATTGTAAAATGGTGCGACAACTATGGAACAGTATGGAGTCTCCTCAAAAATTAAAAATAGAACTACTCCATAATCCAGCAACCCCACTTCTGGGTATATATCGAAAAGAATTGAAGGCAGGGTCTCAAAGAGATATTTGCACACTCACGTTCATAGCAGCACTATTCATAACAGCCAAGAGGTGGAAGCAACATAAAAGTCTATCAATGAATGAATGGAGAAACAAAATGTGTTATATGAGTAAAATGGAATATTATTCAGCCTTAAAAAGGAAGGAAATCTTGTCACATGTTACAACATGGGTGAATCTTGAGGACATTATGCTAAGTGAAATAACCCAGACAAAGACAAATACTATATGATCTCACCTACATGTGGAATCTAAAAAAAAAATTCAAATTCACAGAAGCAGAGAGTAGAACAGTGGTTATTGGGGGCTGATGGGATGGGGGAAATGGGGAGATGTTGTATTAAATATATACAATTTTTATGTTTTTAGTGGCTAAGATGGTAAATTTTGTTATGTGCTTTTTACCACACAAAAAATGAACAACTGGGATTTCCCTGGTGGCGCAGTGGTTAAGAATCTGCCTGCCAATGCAGGGGACACGAGTTCGATCCCTGGTCCAAGAACATCCCACATGCCGTGGAGCAACTAAGCCCATGGGCCACAACTACTGAGCCCACGTGCCACGACTACTGAAGCCCGCACACATAGAGCCCATGCTCTGCAACAAGAGAAGCCACCGCAATGAGAAGGCTGAACACTGCAACGAAGAGTAGACCCTGCTTGCCACAACCAGAGAAAGCCCACGAGCAGAAACAAAGACCCAACACAGCCAAAAATAAATAAATAAATACATAAATAAATATATTTATTAAAAAATGAACAACTTAGCAAAAAAATGGAGAACATTTATGAACCAAGAAAATTTACCAAATACATATAGTCAATAACCATAAGACAAAAATAATTTCACTAGCAATTAAGCTTTAAAAAAAGATATCAGTATTCAGATTCCGTGATCAGACTGGCAGAGCTATCAAAGATTAACACAGGGTGTTGGCATTGGGCACTCAAAGTATTAAAAGGAATGTAATTTGATATAATTCTGTAGGGTAATTTTGTAATAAATATATTTCTGTGTATAAATATATTAAATATAAAATATTTTTAATATTTTGACAAGATCTTTCATATTAAAAATATTTTTAAAAAAATTTTTTTAAAAGTCTGTGTCCTCTGATCCCACGATTCCACTTTCAGGAATATATCTGAAAGAAAGATTCTGACAGGTGGGCAAAGATACATCTTTAAAAAGTTCACTGCAGCAATGTTTATAGCAATGACAAATTAAAATCAGACTATCTGGGACTTCCCTGGTGGCGCACTGGTTAAGAATCCGCCTGCCAATGCAGGGGACACAGGTTCCAGCCCTGGTCTAGAAGATCCCACATGCTGTGGAACAACCAAGCCCATGCACCACAACTACTGAACCTGCATTCTACAGCCTGCGAGCCACAACTACTGAGCCTGCGTGCCACAACTACTGAAGCCCGCATGCCTAGAGCCCATGCTCCGCAATAAGAGAAACCACCGCAATGAGAAGCCTGCACACTGCAACGAAGGGTAGCCCCCACTCGCCGCAACTAGAGAAAGCCTGTGTGCAGCAACGAAGACCCAATGCAGACAAAAAAAAAAAAAAGAAAGAATATATCCTCCTTTTAAAAAAAAAAAAAAATCAGACTATCCCAGATACGGGCTGGAGCAAATATGTATGTATACTGCAGTACAAGACATTGAAAATAATGATGTAGGTACCGACACTGGAAAGCATCCCCAATACATTGGTAAATGAGAAAAACAAGTTACAAAGCAGTCTGACAGGGGAAGGTGTGTATATTTCCACAGGGGAAAGTACAGAAGGATACATACCAAAATGTAAAAAGCACTGGATGTAGGAATTAGGGGTAATTTAAAATTTTTCCCAATTTTTCTACATGGTTTTACCTGCACACATTTTTGAATATGGATTTAAAAAAAAACAAAACTCAATGTCTTCCCTTTTTACCAGTAGAGTCTGGCCCACACATTTATGACTTTTCAGCTGGGATCAGAAAAAAATCTCCACACAACACAGCCAAGCTGTGATGAATTTCTCAACTGTGTATTGTGAATAGTCCAGAGAAGTCAAAATATAACCAATCTTCTCCCTCTCAAGCTATTTCTTTAAAGTGGTTTTTATCCAAGAAGCCAGAGCACCTACAGAGACTTCTTTGCTGAGAAGAAAGAAGAGAAGCAGTCCTTTTCCTTTGGGCAGCCAGAGTAGAGAAGTGAATGCATAGTACCTAAGTTCAGAGCTCTCCCACATGCACTGGCCATGTGATTTTAAGCAAATTACTTCTCTTTCAGTTTTCCCACCTGTGAAATGAGGAAACTAGTACTGATCCTTATTGCAGATAGAGCAGTTATAACTATAAGGCCCTTGCACAGTGCTCGGCTATGGTTAACCATTCAAGAGCACGCAAGGGACCCCACAAAGGTAATCAAAGGACCATAAAATCAGTATATGTTACAACTTTTTAAAACCATGCGTCATTCCCTGCCTCCAGCACACAAACAGAAAAGCAGACAGACAAACTCGTAGCCTGAATGAGAAGACACCCGAACACCAGATTAGAAGTGGCTTCAAGGCACAGAGCCACAGGCACACAGGTCAGTGTTCTCTAGGCCAGTGTGCACGCGGTCAGAATGGTGGGCAATCATCTCCTACTACAAAACTGAACAAACAGCAGCGGTCCTTCAGGAGCAAGGGAGAACCTGCCGCCTTGACGGCGCGTATAAATCTGTCAAGAAAATATTCTGGGGAAGGAAGCATAGAAAAAAGATCTGGACATCAGCGTTTGGTACTGACTTAAATGGTCTTCCTGACAGATGCATTCAAAGCGACCTAGGTGTGCTCTGCCTCACCTGAGCACAGCGCTGGGTTTCAGAGTCTCACTGCTAGGCGAGCGCAAAGGAAAACGAGGGCAAACCGGAGCAGAGAGGAGCACCTTTAAGAAGTGCCGGAGAGCTGGAGCAGGCCTCTGGAAAAATGGGGGCGGGGGATGAAGGAGGGGAGTGGGGCAGAGTCGAGGTGTTAGGTGGGGAGGTGAAAATGGGCAGCTCCGGGCTGAGCCTGACAGAGGCGAGAGGAGAGGGGCGAGCGGTGGTCACCGCTAGCACCACACAGAGCGATCGGTGCAAACCCCAAGGCCGCCATGGGAGGGAGGCAAGAGAGCGTCATTCTTCCTAGACGCGTCTTCTTCCTGTCCTGATCTTTAGAAAAAAGTAAGACCAGTCATCTCCTTGGTTGGGGCGAAGACGAGAGAGGGCTTTTCGAAGTTCTGAGAGTGAGGAGAGGCCCCTGACAGTTCGGGATCCTTCCAGAAAGATTCCAAGGACACTCATGCCTCTTCTACCTCGCAGAAGCCTGGCACCTTGTTCCCGTCACTCTACAAAGGTAGCGCACTAACAGCAGCCGCAAGCGACCCGGAGGGTCGGTGCGACTCCCCACTCCCACCACTGCACTTCCACCTTTCTTCTGAGGCAGCACGCGCCTCGCTCCCTGAGCACGCGCCCTTCACACGTGCAACGGCCCCCGCTGCCGCCTTCACATTCCGAACACCCGTGAGGCAGCAAGCGCCCTAGCGTCGGGGCGGAGCCACGCCCGCTGCGCACGCGGAAAAGGCGGGAAAGTCTGATGCGCTGAGAGTTTGCGAGCCGCCAGTTCCCCGTGCATCTGCTGCCTCCTCTGACCGCTCCGCAGGCTTCCTTTCACGCACCTTTCGCCGAAGGGGATGAGGGCCCCGCGACGGTTCTCGGTGTGGCTCTGGTTCACTGCCATCCTGCCCCAGGGCCGCTCCTGCCGCCCCACAGATGGGAAGGGGCGGGGCCTGCGCCAAGCTGTTGGGTGGGGCTCTGAAGGGGAGGGCGGAGATTATGGCGTAAGGGACTGAAGCGGCTGGTCACGTGAGGGGCCTTGGTCAGAGGACCAGGCGGAGTCAAGGTCGAGACAGCCCTGATGGGGAAGGGGGAGGGTCCAGGGAGTTGACTCCACCCCCGGAGCGCAGAGGAGTGAGTGATGAGTGGCCTCCTCGACAGCGATTCGCCGTCTTGGCCCCTATGTGGCTGCCCCGCTGCCCACGGGTATGAACTTGAATTGGTCCTGTTGGGAATCAAAATTAAAAGTGGAATTTTCCTACGCCCTCCCTGGCCTGAGTCAGGAAGCTGTTGCCCTTTGGAGAAAGGGTCCAGAACGATTCCTTACTTCTCCTAAGGCAAGCAGAACTTACTTCCACCAAAGAAAGCCTGGGATCAGAGCCGATTTCTTGCGAGGCAGCATCCAGGAAAGGGTGCGTTGCTGGGTCAGGAAGTCAAAGGGGGAATTTCGACCCTGTGTGAGTCTGTTCCAGCTCCAAGATGGAGAGAGCCTTTTGTCTCTGTGGCACGCATCATACCTGCCCTGCTTCCTCCAAAGGGTGACTGTGAAGATCAGGTGGGATACGTTATACCAGAATTGCTTTTAAGACTAAAATGTTGTATGTATTCTTATTTCCTTTAAACTTCACCAATAGCACCAGAGGGCTTCAAACAGAAGGATGTTAACATCTTCTGGACCACCTACCATATTTCATCAAATTTAAGATGTTGTCAGTTGTAAAATGCACCATTTTAAAGTGTAACTTGAAGGAAAAAAAGTTGCCAAATAAACGGACATCAGTTGTAAGATGTATGCTGATTTCAAAAATATATGTATTTTTTTAAATCTTTTTTTTTAGGGTGCACCAAGCATAATGCAAGATCTTCCCATGACCAGGGATCGAACCCGTGTCCCCTGCATTGGGAATGTGGAGTCTTAACCACTGGACCACCAGATATATATATACTTTTAAAGCATGACTACAATAGGAATGGCGTGAAGCAGGGGAACAAGCACTGAGGTCTAGGCCCTGTTCTGCTTGGTAACTAAGTGTACAACCTTGGGCAAGACGGTTATGCTTTCTAGACTTGTTTCCATATCTGTTTGAAGGAAGAACGAGAAGAACTCTTAGGTTTCTTTCAGCTGTGATATTTTATGATTCCCACACTGCTCTGTCACTCAAATCTTCTCACTTCCCTCCATCTTGGTGTGGCCTTGCCGTTCTAGTTCCAGTCATCATTTTACTTGAATGACTCCAAGGGCCTGCTGACCTCTCTTCCTCTCGTCTTGACTCCCCACCATTCATCTATACCTTGTGCTCACCCTACAGAATGTTGAGGACCCAAACACAGTTGCACATGATTGTCACATTCAAATTCAGAGAGATAATATACAGGTAGAGTTGTGTTATTTGCTGGCTATAGAAGACAGTGTGAACCTCACAGAGAGGAAGGATTGGTTTAAGTTTGAAAAAGACAATACAAGCTAGTGCTTTAAGTTTAGCTCTTAAAAGTCTTCACTGCAAAAAAGGCAGGTCTCAGGCTTCCCTGGTGGCGCAGTGGTTGGGAGTCCGCCTGCCGATGCAGGGGACACGGGTTCGTACTCCGGTCCAGGAGGATCCCACATGCCGTGGAGCGGCTGCGCCCGTGAGCCACGGCCACTGAGCCTGCGTGTCCGGAGCCTGTGCTCCGCAGCGGGAGAGGCCACAACAGTGAGAGGCCCGCGTAAAAAAAAAAAAAAAAAAAAAGGCAGGTCTCTAGGCAAGATAGGTCCACTCCTTTCCTAGATTTGGTTTTATGCCTCCTGGAAAAAGGAGGGTGAAAGCTAGGAAATTAATTGAATGAAAATAGACATTGTTTCCATTAGAGGAGACAGGCTATGCAGAGCATAGCATCCCTCAAGGTAAAGTGTGATAGCTCCATCACTCATTTCAGATACAAAACTCCAGGGAATAATGACAGGGGTCCAACTTCATGCCCACTGAAGATGAACTGACCTCACAAAAACTTTTCCATCTCTAATTTCTGTGTCTACCTCTTACCAAGATGGTCCCTGTCTCACCCTCCACACATGGGTGAGATGATGTAATAGCTAATTTGGCCAAGGATTGAGGAGCAAAAATAAAACACAGTTCAGTTATTGTTCAAACAGCAATGTTTAGTTGTACAACACATAAAGTCTAGCAACATTTACACAACCAGTTTGAGTGTCTGTTTGCTTACTTTCAATTGGGAAAATTAATCATAATGTCACCAAAAGGTTGGCTGGGACTGGTAACATTTAAGAAATGGGTCGTTCTTGCATCCCCTAGGCTTGGGCCTCTTGCTCCATCAGGACTTCGTTGTAGATGAATGGCCCACAAGTCACCAGCCTTTGAGCAAGTTGTGTCCAGGTGGAAATGGTGGGGCAGTGGGCAAGGGGTATTCCATAAAGACATAGCGTGTGGGGTGGTGGCAGCCGACATTCGCAAACATTCATGCATCTGATGCGGGGCTGTACCCTCCACTGGGGATTTTCCACTAGCCTACAGTGACCAACTGTGGCCAGGCTGATTCATTACTCACGTTAACGGAGTGGGGGAGGGGGTGGGGTGGAGTAGTCAGGGTGGGTGGGAAGAGATTCCCTCTTATTGCTAAGTGGACAGAAGGGTGCTTTTTTCCTCCTAGAGTTCACATCCTGTGACTTCCTGGAGTTTTGTGTGTGCATTTAGTTCTTATTTAAAGTTTGAGGATAAGGAAGTCAACTCCAGGAATGTCTCAGGAAAACCACGCTCCCTAAGTGGCTGCATTATGGGGCAGGGAGGGTGTGTGACTGCCCTCCGGGCCAGCCACAAGCAGTGATTTTTTAAAAAAGTCATCCTAGCCCTTGCTCCCCCAAATCTGTAGTGACCCATCCTTATAAATAAGCTTTGAGCAATGAAGGAGGCACCCTCGTCCCACCTTGGGGCTCACACAGCTGACATCAACAAACCCGACAAGCAGAAAAGTTGCTTTCTTGACCCTTTAAGGAAGCCAAGAGTAGCTCATGCAGATGAATGGACAGGGAACAATGCCATTTCCCTCGGAGATGGTTACAAGTAGCCGGTATGGGTTTGCAAGGGCAGAAGGAGCTCTTGGTGAGCTCTTTCACCCTACAGATGGGCTAGGACCAGCTGACACAGATGATGGAGGAGGGCAGTGCTGGTGAGAACTCCATTCCACTGGGAGGAGAGGGGTGGTTTGGATGAATGGAAGAAGCAACTGTCCTAAAGGGGCAGCCGGCCCCTCCCACCGGCTGAGGGCTGAGAGGGGCCGTGGTGTTGGCTGGACACACACAGCACTAAAAAGGGTGTGGCCCTGCAGCAATAACAGCTGAGAGGAATGGAGGGAGGAGCGGCGCTTGAAATGGCCTTCATTCTGCAGTGGGGCAGGGGGTGGCTGGCACAGGTGGAAGGACAATGCCCAGGAGGCCTTCTCCCTGCGGGGGGGTTGAGAACAGTTGAGGGTGTGCCTCCAGGGAGGCTGAGATCATGATTTAGGGGTGCCAAGCATCAGTCTCCTACTCGGCCTCTCCAATGCCCCCCCCTCACCCCTAGACCTTCCCCGCTAGGCTGAGGTGTCTAGTCCCACGTCTCCATATAAGCCAGGGATCCCTCTTCTGTTGAAATGTAGCAACCTCTGGGCTCTGACCCTGCCGCTCTTCTATCCTGCCTCGAATAACTTTGTGGGTGAGGGAAGATGTGGGTTGGATTGGTAAGGTGCTTCCAGGAAAGACTGTGACCATGAGTTTTGGGCCACTGGCAACAGATCACCTGCCTCTTTCTCCTGGTCCACTGAATCTTGGTCTTAAGTCTATGTGTTCTTCTAGCACCTGAGTGATAAGGGACTATAAACGCTAGGATCTGCAGGGGACCAGTAAAACACCTAGGGTTAGACCAGGAGATGGAACAGGAGGTTGTAAGAGGTTACTGTAAACTGCATCACTTGTTTTCCCTTGCCTAAGGCTAAACTGTTTCCCCAGCCCCAAATTTCAGCCACCTTACAGACTAAAGGAGAAAGAGTAACTTGTTTGTAAAACAACAGGGGAAATATATGCATTAATAAATACAGGGCTGAAGGGAAAGGCAAGAAAAGGCTACATGTATGATTGTGGGTATCACTGGGAATGTCTACAGGGGTCAGGAAGAGGAACTGGGGAAAAGCAGAGAAAGACAGACAAAAATGCAGTTAGCTTCAACATGAGAGAGACAGTGAGACAGAGAGAGAATAGAAGAGAAGTAAAGGGCGGGGGGTCAAGTATACACAAGAAGAAAAGAGAAACAGAAGCCAGCTTTAAGGAGGAAGAATCCTGATGGAGAGAAGGGAGGTGTGGTTTAAAATTGCCAAACTACCAAGAAAGACAAATACTGTATATTGTTCTTGATACTTTAGACTCAGTTCTTCTAGAACTTAATGCCTAAAACAGCTTGTCTCACTTGACCAGCACATGTGCTTCTTTAACCAGTGGGCACCGCATAACTCGCTGTGTCTCCTCCTTTGCTGGGCTGCCCACAAGCTCGGGGCCATTTTCAGCGCTCGACCGCAGAAACTTTCTTTCCCATGCCTCTCTATAAATCCAATTTCTCTTGAAATCTCAGTTTGTACTGTCCCGTGATTTAAGCGATGATTTTATTTTAAGTGGCCTGAAGTCGTTTTGGGAAGTAGACTGGGCATAAATCCTAAATATAGAAATGAAGCTAAAGTGGATTAGGGTAAAAAGAAGTGAAAAGTCAGAGGGGGTAGAATGAAGGAAGGAGGGAAAGGGGGGAAAAGAGAGAAAGTGGAAGCCGAGGGGAGCGAGGCAAGGGGAGTGCGGAAAGTAGCAGTCTTTGGTGGTGACAGGTAGTAGCTTTCGGACAGTGAACGCCACACGGACCAAAGGGTGGAGCTCTCTCCTCCACTTCTAGGTACTACTTCTTTCTGCAGG